GAGTCAAGGGATATCTAAGTGTTGTTCATTGGAAAGACAAGCGTGACGTGCATGTTCTAACGAATTTTCACCCTCCTCCATTGGAAGGCAACTTCCAAGGTGAATCTGGCCATGCTGTCAAACTCCATGTAATTGAAGGCTACAGTGCACACATGGGCTTTGTTGATAAATCTGACAGGATGGTAAACAGGTATGGCATTGCTAGGAGGACATGGAAGTGGACAAAGAAATTGTTTTTCCACCTTCTAGATATGACTATTCTAAATGCATATCAATTACACAAGTCATGTGGTGAAAAAATGACACACAAAAGTTCCGCGAAATATTGGTGCGGGATTTGATTCTTCAGTCTCATGAGGCGAATATCACAAGTCAGTGGCGTTTCTCAGGGGAGGCAAAGTTCATCTGGGGCCCAACTGAGTCGACTGAAGGTGAAACATACACAACACTGGTCAGCCAAAGGAAAACAAAGACATTGTCGTATTTGTTCTCAGAATAAGAAGCGCAGAAGCATGCTCTACTACTGTAAAAATGTGACGTTGCGCTATGTGTGGAGGTCTGCTTCGAGAAGTGGCATACACGCGTCAGAGTGTGAGTTATCATAAACTGTGAAGTGACGCAGTTCAAACTCGCATACAGTCTGAACAAAATATTACTGTATATAGTGTGATCATATTTACAATATCACCATGATTCAAGGTTGAAGAAAAAACAATGGGTAAGTCCTTTGGAATTTCATAACATATATAATAAAGATTATATTTTGCATTTCATGACAAAATATTCACAGTTAATTTTCATTTGTAAAACTTGCTCTTTTATGTATATGTAGAAAATTTTATTGTCTTTCAGGTTCTTTTTAGTTCATATTTCTATGTTGCATAGAACGGAAAATATGCATTTTTTTCTGAAAATTTGCAGTGATAATTAATTAGGGTGATTTAAATTCCGGCCATACAGGGCTCCTGGCAATTTAAAAGTCCGTACGTTGAAGGTTAATGGACAAAATTCATGGACACTCTTAAAAATTAATTTTTGGTGTGGGATAGGGTGGGATGAGGGCAGAAAATTTGTTTAAATTCTTACACTTAAGCCGTTTGTAAGATTGTTTACTAATTGTTGTTGTTGTTGTTGTTGTTGTTGTTGTTGTTGATGTTAGACTAATATTTACCATATGTCTAGTTTGCTCCTCCCTCCCTACCAGTGAAATCTATGAAACAGAAGTTTATTATCTGTAATGTGTGATATGACTGAGATAGACCTCAGATCAGAGCAAAGATAGAAATATTATGATACCTTAGCAGCTGGTATATCAGCATACAGGAGAAAATACAGACAAGAATTCCAATGACTGACAGACCAAACATAGCACGAAGGCAAGAGTAAAGGGCACCATGAATCACCTCACAGTCTGGAGTCGAGTTGAATACATAATGGACAACTGAAACACAATCAGATATTTATCAGACCACAGCAACTCTGACAACATTATTTCATTCTTAAGAAGCTGCAAAAGCAAGATCACTTTGGGAAACTATCCTGACAGGCATACTTAACTTTTCTTAGACCCTTCAAAAAAAGGAAATTCAGGAAAAGGATCTGATATTATGCTGTGAAACTTTTTCTTTTCTAGCCAATGTACTTAATTATCTTCCTGTATATCATCTTCATATCTAGTCATATTTTTTTCTAAAATTCTTTTTAATATCATCCTCCAACCTATACCTCAGGCTTCCAACTAACAACTTCCTTGAAATCCCTCCCCCAAGCATTATTTACTTATTTCTTGTCCCTCCACATGATGTGTGTTTTAAGTGAAGAGAACAACATATGAAACTTCCTCTATATAATATTCCCCATTCCACATTTCTGAGCTTCAGATTACTTTAACTCTTTATTTCCCAACACTTGCAATGATTCACATACAAAGGGGGACCCAAAAATAACCGGAAACGACCTGTTGCGCGCATGCTTTGTAGTTACGAGTTGTGCTGCTAGGTGGTGTTAGCTGGGGGTCTCCCGCGACTGTTAGTGAGCTGGCGTCAGTCTGAGTTAAGTGGTTTGTCTGTGGTGCTCTGTTGTGTGCGTTCCTGTTTCAACCCTTTGGCGATTAGTGAGATGGCCGACCAGAAGGAACAAAGAGTGTGCGTGAAATTTTGCTTTCTGTTAGGGAAAACTGCAGCCGAGACTGTTGGGATGCTTCGGCAAGCCTTTAATGATGATGCTTTGGGGAAATCACAGGTCTACGAGTGGTTTTCCCGTTTCAAATCTGGCAACATGTCAACAGAAGACATGCCACGCCCCGGGCGTCCTTCAACAGGAAGAAATGACGAAAACATTGCCAAAATCAAACGTGCAATTGATGAAGATCGTCGAAAGACCATTGACCAACTTTCTGAGGAAACGAACATCTCATGGAGCACGGTCCAGCGAATTTTAACCGAAGGTTTGCACATGAGACGGGTGTCTGCAAAATTTGTTCCTCGCTTGCTCGGAGATGACCAAAGAGAAAACCGCGTGAATGTTTGCCGCGACTTGAAGAGTGAAGTGCAGTTTTCCCTAACAGAAAGCAAAATTTCACGCACACTCTTTGTTCCTTCTGGTCGGCCATCTCACTAATCGCCAAAGGGTTGAAACAGGAACGCACACAACAGAGCACCACAGACAAACCACTTAACTCAGACTGACGCCAGCTCACTAACAGTCGCGGGAGACCCCCACCTAACACCACCTAGCAGCACAACTCGTAACTACAAAGCATGCGTGCGCAACAGGTCGTTCCCGCTTATTTTTGGGTCCCCCCTCATAATTACTAGGTTTCTAGACTTTTTCCATCGTCCAGAATTCTAGGTAATAGAAGACACAACATTTTGGAAACTAGATCTGTTTCCATCTACAGCTGAGGAAGGAAGACACCTACTCAGTTGGGCCCTTAAGAAAGAGTTAATCTCAATCTCATGTCATGTCTTCTATTACATAGTATTGTGGGCGATGGAAAATGTCAAAAAATCCAGTAATTCTGTGTCTCATCCACTATCATCAGAACCCTTTAGAATCTACCTTCAATGATTGTTCTTTCTTCAGAGTGTGAGATTCAAAGTCACATAATAATAATAATTCAATTCAATTCAATTCTTTATTATTAATGTGCCGAGTCAACAGCCGCAAGGCCAATTACAGACTCAGCACAGTGTAGATGACTGATAATAATAATAATAATAATAATATATGTAGTAATAATCTTTTAGTATTTTGCAAAAAGATGTTGACTCCTGACAAAAGTAGCATGCATTTCATGAGGTTAATCTGTGATCAATTTTTTGAAAATATTATTTTTTCCCCAAATCTTTTATACTTCAATTTTGCTCCTCATTATTTTTAAAGCAGACATTAATAATTCTAAACATAAAATTATGATTTTGTCCTATACAAGATAAAACACATAGGCCTACCAGAAAGATCACAAAGAACTATACGATAGTAATTTGCTATCATGAAATGTGCCTACTGCTGTTCTAAATTTTTTCCTCATGCTCCATCTCATATTTCACATTTCTAAAACATGTGAAACAGCTTTAATTGATAGGTAGTTAATTTAGTTCATCCATTATTGAATTGTTACAGTCACCATTACTCAAAATTGTAAACCATTTTAAATCTAAACATTTAAAAAAACCACATATTGTGCATCACCTTGACTCCAGGTCTCCAGCTTTATGCTGGGAAGACTGACAGGACCATGTAGGAGTGCATGCGTGCTTCCTTGGGCATGTGCATGCATATGTGTAAAGGCACATGGTTTTGCTCGCACGCACGTGCGTGTGTCTGCACATTCACATTTATGCATACATGTGCTCTAAGCCTGAGGTGATACTTTGCACAAAAATTTATTGTGAAGAGGACCAAGAACATAAGGGTATTCCATTTTGACGTAACAAGCACAATCACCACTTTCATTGAATAATGAATGTGCTTTTACATTGAATGCACTAAATATTAAGATTATGATCTGGGATATGACACATGCTCTTTGGCAGAGAGGTACAAACATTTTGCCAGGTCCTAGAAGGCTGTGCTCTTGATTTGGTTATGAGAATCTCACTTTCACTCTCACTGAACAGTCAACATACTGATTAAATATTTAGTTATTTTTTAGACTTCGAAGAGTTGTGTTTTATACTACTTTCAAAATTTGTAAAATTCAGCATCTTCATAAACTTGTTCAAATTAATTTAAACATGTAAATACAAAAACACAACTTTATATCAATCAGAGCTTAGCGTAATTACTTACTGTCTGAAGTAGCTCTTGCCGTTGGTGTGGTATCGATTGGTACAGGGTAACAAGTGCAAGTTTGTGTCATCCTCGTGTAGACACACTCTCTCAGCATCTGCAATCTGTTCATGTGGATAACTGTCGTGGAGATAGTGACAATCACACAAAGCACTGCACAGGCTAGACAGCATCCACCACACAATTTGATCTGAAAACAAAATTTATACATGCACACTCACACAATTGCTCTTTCTTTGTAACCTAAGGTAGTGAAATGTAGATCTTAGTATGAGCATGGCTTATAATTTAAGCATTTATCAAATGGATATTTAATAGGATAAAATGATAAAAGAATATACCTCCTAAATATAGACATGTCACTGTATATCACCAAATTTTAGTGCTTAATTATGCTACAAGAGAGAACGCAAGGGAACGAAGACAAAAAAATAAGAAATTTTAGTATTTTTAGGTAACTTCTAATTTAGCAAACTACCATCTCCTAAATTATACCCATTCCTGATAGCTTATGTCTGAAATGTTCAATGAAACACAAGAGAATAAATGACACATTTCTGTCTTGTAAACAGGGTTGTGTTACAGTGCTCAGTGAAGATTATTAGCTCTCATTCAAAACAAGGGACACAAAACAAAATACAAAACACAAAACTATGACACATGAAAATTTGTCCATACAATAATGTCCATATTTATGAAAATATCACTCTGAAAAAAAAATACACATTCAAGACTATTTGATCCTGAATGGGTCAACAAAACACAAAGGAGAAATAATCTAACTCTCTGTTCCTGGTAGGTATGTAAAAATAATTTTATTTCTGCAATCAATGAACATGAAGATTCTATGTAGAGATATGCTAAATTACAAAGAATACATCTGCAAAATTTGTGTATACCTAAATGAACCAAATATTTCTGCTGTTATTTTATCATGCAGCAAACTAGGTATCATGGCCACACCATAGCATAAGCGGTTAGTCACTGGGTTCGATCCCGGGTCTGGTCAAGTGGGATTTGTGGTGGACAAAGTGGCGCTGGAGCAGGTTTTCTCCAAGTACTTTGGTTTCCCTTGCCAATCTTCATTCCACCAATTACTCCACAATCACCCTCACCTATTATCTGGGGCTGGTACAACAGGCCAGAAGTGGCCGCAGTACAAGCGACTTAGTCCCACCCCACTAGCAATTAAAAAAACTAGGTATCATTGAGAATATGCTCACCAGGTACCCATAACGGTTTCTTCTTCCAGCCAAACACATCACAATCAGACCCGTCACTATCAGCTGGAAAAAGGAAAAGAATGAAGATATTTCTTTTGTGATTCAGGAAAATAAATCCATTTTCTTACATTTAATACTAATTAGACAAGGTGAGAAAGAAAAGTGTGCATATTTATCATAACAAGTTGCATTGTTTCAGTCATATATAATATTTCCATAAATTCATAATAAAATACAAATACATTTTATATACATGTCCAGTAATTTAACTTTACAATTCAATGATTATTACCTTTGCATGAAAATTTGAGGTCAAGCGAATCATAAAATATCCTAATTAACAATCAGGTTCCTTCCGTCAAATGTGACACTTTTTTAAGTTTTCCACCTCGTCACCACCTGCCTTACATGTTTCGGCTCACCACGGAGCCATCATCAGAGGCATTTATAGTAGAAAAAGAAATCACCAACACACAAAACTTCACTTTGTCCAAGATAGCCACGTTCCAGTTAATTAAAATAATTACAAATAGTTAAAATTACCCAGAGTGTCGGTTCACTAAAAGTTTTTCACACACCACAGTAGCTTNAGAAATTCACCGACTCTTCAAAGGAAAGTATTGCCTCTATTATCAGGGTGGAAGAATAACCTGAGCAGGCAAGAAAGCAAACAAGCACAGACTCTTGTATGTTGAATCTGATGTTCTCACAGCAGTGACTCTCCAGGGTACAGTCTTCTGGATTGTAACGCCGTGTAGCCCAGGGTCTGCATGACCTGCAGAAGCAGACAGCAAACTGAGTTGCTTCTGTTGGTTTCTTGCTTGGCTCACAATTCAACCCTGAAGACGGAGGTGACATGTTCTTCTAAACATGGGACTCTCTTCAATATAGACAATGTTACAAGTCAGGAGATCGAACTCTTCACGAACTCTTCTGCTTGCTCTTACTTGGCTTAATCTTTGGCCATGAAATTGGAGGAAATACATTCCACCGAAACGTCTGTAAACTTCTTCTAGACTGCACGGGGTCAAATTCGGTAACATAGTGCTGTTCACAGTCACCGCCATAAGAACTTCAAATTTAAAAGAATGAAATTCTGTGTATGTATTCCAGTAAGCACTAACAATATACAATATTTCTTCCGTATGGTATTCATAGAGGCTATTAATATCTCGACTACAGAGCGTCAAAAGTAATTTGACTGAAGAATGGCGAATTGGTAAAGATTTGGGAGGAGTCCATCATGGGCTAATCGTGGTAGTATCCCGGGATTTGAACGACAGGACTGAGAAAAACCACGAACAAACCCAGGGAAGCCGGTGATCAAACAGATATTCGAACTGAGTAAAGTAAAGTAAAAACATTAAAGCTATCCCTGTAACAGGCCGTGAAGGCCCATAGGCTTGTGAGACGCTGAGGCTCCCACATTATCTAGACAATCTGCTCAAAGATGGCGGTAAGGTTGTCAGCCTTACGCGCCGGCCGCACTTTACTCCCCAGGAAAATTATTTAATTAATTCCCGGTACTCATTTCTGTTAGACGCTGAGTCGACCCCAGGGCCATAGTCCGGCTGGAAGGTTAAGGTCAACTGAAAAAATCCATTGACCTCATCGGGACTTGAACCTGCAACCTTCAGACTTGTAGCATGGTGCCTCAACCAACTACGCTACCGCGTGCCCCCACTCGAACTGAGTACCTCCAAAATACGGGTCTAAAGCGTTACTACTAAGCGAAACCACTAGGTGGCTCAAAATATTAGAACAAATCAAATCGATATGTATTTACTCACACTGGCCTTATTACAATTTTTGACATTTATTTTATGATATTACGTATCAGTATCACGGTGCACGCGGTAGCGTATCGGTTGAGGTACTACGCTACAAGCCGGAAGGCCGCGGGTTCTATTCCCGATAAGGTAATTTGATTTTTCAATTGACCTAATCCTTCCAGTCGCGCTATTACCCTGGGGTAGACTCAGCCCCTTAACAAAAATGTGTACCAGGAATCTCCCTGGGTGTAAAGGGCGGACGAAGTGTAAAGCTGAAAACCTCACTGCCATCTGTGAGCCGCTTAGAAAATGTGGGAGCCTCGACGTCTCACAACCCTATGGCCCTCCATGGCCTGTCACAGGGAAAGCTTTACTTTTCATCAGCATCACAGATTATTCTGCGCTCATTGAGAGGAGAGTAATTGAATAATGAACTGGAGAGGATTTGGAATGAAGTTGTGGTGCCCTAATAGAGAAATCTTCAGGTATTTTCCGCGAGGGACTGAGAAATACCACGACGAACCTGCCAGAATAACCAGTGTCCCGACCGAGATACAAGCAGAGCACTCCCAGATACGAAGGTTTAATGTTATCACTATATTAGCGTGCTCAGGGCGTTGCTATGTCTAGATACAATGTGCTGCAATATACTGTAACAGGTAAGGAGCTTAAAATGAAGATGAGAAACCTCGGGAATGGACTTACCATAGCAGCAGGAACATAGGTGGGCACCGTCTCGAAGTAGTTCAACGAAGAAGTGTAGGAACGCAGCATGAAGTACACAGTGAGAAACAGAGCCCCTAACAGCACCGCCAGGCCGCCACACGCAGTACACAGAAAAACATATTTCCGGAGCCAGCAGGACCGCCGCAACACTGCAAAATATCCGAAACAGGTGTCAAAAATTGTTTATATGCTACTCAGAAATCAAATGAAAATTATGATTACATTTCTGAAATCTTGTTTAAGTAAAACACATAGGCAACATCGATAAAAATATATATTTCCCTTCCAATATCCAGAACATTAATATTAGTGTTTGGATCTGAGGTTCTCCCAGAGGTGGCTATGAAGAGTTGTATTTTTTGGGATATAAAGATGTAAAGTCAGGTGTAACCCTACATTTAGGAGGAACATACTGCCTCCATCTTCAGAATCAAAAAACAAGACAAATATAACCCTGCCCGCTACCAGTTGCGCACTGGTTTCTTGCTTGGCTCATTCTTCGACCCTGAAGATGAAAGGCCACATGTTCCTCCGAAACTTCGATTGCTTTTCGGCGGACTACACGGAATTACAGTTATATTCCATAAGATGTTTGTTTTGTTTTCAGTAACTTCGGCATGCAATGGCCTTTTCTTATGTATACTCCACATGCCAGCAAAGATCCAGTTACAGAGCATCATCTTTCTAATGTCTCCTTCCGTAAGCCTACATCATTTCCTATGTTTGCAAACGCCTAATCTTCATTCCCATTTAATGAAGCATTCCGGCGTTTCCCGAAGTAAAACTGCAGGAACCATAACTGACTCCATGGAGCATAGGCCTTTTTGAAAAACTAATAGTCGCTCAGGTGATCATGAGATTCCCAGCCCTTTATGGAGCCCGAATGTTGATTGTCATGTTCACGAGTTCCTGCCACTGGACCCTAGCCCGAGCTATATGGTTCCAGTCCCCATCCTCATAATATTTTGACATGACGCCTGAAAGCCGAAATAGTGGAGCCAGAGCGGAAGTCGATTGATAGCCAGCGACTAACAAAACACGCGTTCCCGCAAGAAATGAACAGAAGCAGGGGTCCATTGCTAGTCAACGGTTCGCGAAACACATTTCCTTGACAACAGAGAGGCAAAAAAAATTACATGATTACCGGTAGCCTATATAAGGAGCCGTGCAGAGAAGAACGAGTCGTTTAAGTGACTAGACTGCCGTTGTAGCGGAAGCTACTAAAGATATGGCATGATCTGCTGTGCTGAGCCTGGACTGACAGATGCCTTATATATGTATATTGTATATACCAAAAATTAGTAACATGTATGATAATTTTCAAACAAGAAGAAGTGTCTGGTCGTGAGCCCCAGACGGGGCTCGACACCAAGACAAACAGACTGACTGACTGATCGTCAGACGCAATGTGACTTTGACTTTGTCTTTGAACGTGTCAGTCGTAATTCAGTAGTAAGAGAGTTCAGTGTTCAGCTGCGGAGGGCTAACCAGCGGACAGCGGAAGCTGAAGAAGTGACCGACGCGTAAATGAGAACCAAGACAGTCAAGCAGAAGTGAAGACACTCGTAATCCAGTATGGAATGGAGCGAGTCGTAGACAGTCACCGATTGTGAGCTGTTATAATTGGTTGTAATTGTAAAGAAGTTCCACTGAATCCAATCATCCAATCCAGAAACCGTTACTATCAGTCACGGAATCCCGAACACGTGACAATATATTTCTGTGAGATTCATCCTCAATAGTATCTTTCCATCTAAGTCTAGGTCACCCATATAATTTCTTCTCTTCCGGTTTTGCGACTAACACATGTAACGTTTCGTGACATGTATTTGAGGTTCTCAAGGCTGTGACTAAGAAGACTGGGCCTGGGTTGTTTTTACGTTGCTGTCAGTGGCTGGAAGTTATAGCATCGAACCCGAGGTTGATAAATGAGTTATTAATTGGAAAGGATGTGAAAAAATGCTACCATTGCCTAACTTTTAAAGCACTATCCCAGTATATACCTGGATGAACTGAGGAAAGCAATGATAACCCTCATTCAGAAAAGTCTCTGTCTTGCCTGTTCAAGTATAGGGCATTATGAATATTAGTCTAGCGCTTTACCGCTAAGCCAAAATGTTCAGAGTAAATGGGTTAGCTGCGACGCCGTGTAGCCTACTAGAAATTTTTCGACGTTTCGGAGGAACATCACTCTCCTGAAAATGTAGACAATACCTTCGTGTGAACCGTCAGCAAATATCTACTAGACTACACGGCGTCACATCCCAGAAGACAATATTCTTCATGGATTTTTCTTATTCTTCTACATAAAAGTTGAAGCTTCAGGAAAATCGTAAAAAGAAAACAATTCTTTATAAGAAAGACTTACTGTAAATTATTTGAATTCACATAGAAAGGGGGTCCTCTAAAATGTGATATCTTTTTTTATTCTTCCTTGTGAATTATTTCTGGAGCTTTCCGAGACAGGGCGCCCCAGGTGGTTTTCGTTTTTCTTTTTCCTTGCACAACTCCCTTCCCCTAGTGACCTGCATTGATTAGTAAACCTCGTCCTGCTAGAAGTGCCTTCCCTCACCACCGAGCTTCATTTCGTTTGAGCAAAGAATGTTTAGTGAAGGGAGTTCTCCTGGTTACAGAAACTCAAATCGTGTGTTTACAATCCTTACATTGTGCACACAAAAAACTAAATCAGATTGTGACAAGGAAACCCAGATAGAGTAGAGCCTGAAGAATAATTATCTACATAAATATCAACTTAGAATATAGTATACGACGTACTATTTTTCGGACGTGACGCCGTATAGTCCTGTAGAAATTCGCCGATGGCCATACATGTTCAAGGTCAAACAGTGTGCCAAGCAAGACCCTGAATGTGGAGACAATATTTTGCTCCAAAGCATCTGAGAAATTCTACCAGGCTGCAAGGCGTCACACCCCACGTGACAGCAGTCTTCACATTTAAGTATAACTTAGACCCAGCTGCTACAACATCAAATCAACATAAAATAAAAACAATACACAATATCCGAAATGTTCTGCTTATTTGTGACGCTGCATCAGCCCGTCCTTTTGTTTACGTTAGGCAGGAGAAGTATGGGTGATGGTGGCTTGTGCTGAAGACTGACAGATCTGTCACACCGTACTTCTATGTAACTTTGTTCCCTACGTTGTTTTCCTCTTCACCGATCACTCATCAAAATCGCCTACGAATTTCCAAACCAAAACTATGAACCGCAGTTGTTAAACCAGCTTTCTACGGCATAAAAGGAGAATTCAAAATATTTACGTATTTTCTTTACCCACATCATACCTTTACGTTGATCAAGAAATGTCTTGTTGAAATGAAAACTGAAACTACATTTTCGTCAGTATGAAAATCTTTAAAAAAAAACGTGTTCTGAATCAGATCAATCAAATCAACTTTTCTGATATCTCAACATACTCCCTTTCATCGAATTTCCCAAATGGCTTCTTCCTATGATGTCTTCCAAACATAGTTTTTATAGAACTATAAGGTTTATTTTGGACTCTATCCATTGTCTGGTGTATATATGTCTCATCCTTAAGTGGATGGGGCAAGATAAACCTACTCAGTTGGGCGCGTTAGAAAGAGCTAGTCTCAATCACTGGACTAGTGAGACTAGCTCTTTCTAATGGGCCCGACTGAGTAGGTCTATCTTGCCCCATCCATTTGAGGATGAGACATATATACACCAGACAATGGATAGAGTCCAAAATAAAGCTTACAGTTCTGTATAGCATACAGCATCGTCAGAATCCTTTCAAGTTTCTTCTTCGTCCAGCATATTTCAGCTTTCTTAATTTAATCACCACGTTAATTTATGTGGTTTCAAAACAAGATTCTGAAGTGAAAAGGGGCCTAGCACAGAGCAAGTAAAAAAAAAGAGTAGATGAATTTCGCAAATAAGGATCTTCAGAATATGTGGTCTTCGGCAGTTATTATTATGATGAGATTAGGGAGGTCAACATGAGCAGATGTGGCACACATGGAACATATGACAATGCATACAGAATTTTAGTCGGATAGTCTGAAAGACGGAAACCACTTGAGATAAACAGGCGTAACTCGGGGAATAGTATTAAAATTAGTCTTAAAAATAGTTTGCGATGACTTAAGATTGTATGCAGCTAAGATTCATGCTCGTAAAATGAAAAACTCTTTGTCAGTAGGGCAATTCGTATTCGATTCCCACCAAAGATCCGAAATTCTTTATTAATTGAGGAACTATAATTTTACATACAGAATAGCCCAAAAATCAGTTGACAGGTTAGTAAAATGTACATTAAAATACATTAGAATTTCTTCAATACTTATTGGATTAAAAAAATATTCGAAACGTGATCCTTTATGTTCAACGCACAACTCACAACGCACAACGCACAACGCACAACGCTGTGCTAAGCTTATGCAGATTGGTTGGCAAGTTTAAGTCTGAACATTCCCATTAATACGAGAACATTTTCTGTTAACTGAGTCTGGGGTCACTCAGTATTTATAAAAATATTTTGAAAATACTCAAACATAAAAGTCCAAGCTAGCAACATATCTAAAATTCTATACCATGGAAAATGTTTTTATTCAGAAAACAGGAATAAACAATTATTTCACAGAGTCACAACCCATACCATCTTAGTTATTTAGAATTATCGAGCAAGGCAAAGCTTGTGATTTGTATTCGGGAGGTAGTCGATTATAATCTCGATCGAAACACCGGCTGAGATCTTTCGTATTTTTACTCAGTTATTCCGATAATTTTTTGGGTAGTTCCTTCAATTATACCACGATTTCTTGCACATCCTTTATAACTCATCAGTCACTATCAACCTGCCATGAAGAATTACTGCCAGCATCGTTAAATAAACAAGTAATATTAACTTAGTGTGGAGGTGAAGCCGTAAACTCGTCCTATAAATTCGACGCTTTCTCCGAGTCTGGAGTCGTTCAGAAACCTCCCTTCAGATCTCAGTTCAGTATGCTGAATGCAGGAGCGCCAGTTTACACAACGCCTGTGGTGTTTACGGAATTTCGTCATTATGTTTTCCCGTCGGTGCGTTCCTGCTAAGCTGGTCTGGACAGCTGTCAGCTGTGAGATTAAGGTTTTACGGATTATTATGGAAATCAATATTTAAC